TCAGAGCCCAGATTGGCCATAACTGGCCTTGGGCACAGCTGTCTGGCCCAGCAGAGCTACTTTTACCTTAAATCCTGCTCTTTCAGTGGTTCTTAACCTTTGAGGTCACATATCCCTTTGAGTACTTGATGAAAGCTAGAGGGAACCTCTTGCTAGAAAAAAGTCAATAAACACAAAACTTGTGCTTATACTGTTAAGGATTAACACCACAGCACCACCCCCAGTGGAACCCTAGGGATCCAAAGACCCCCAAGTTAAGAGCCTTTGTTCTAAAGTGACCTCCATGAGATGGCTGTCCTCTTGTCCTACTAAAATAGCAGATGTTGGCTAAAGGCCTGCTGCTTTTGTATTTTACAGACAATTGTTGCTAGGTATATTTACTGTGATACGGTCAAGTGCCACCAACTCTGGGGAAAGTTTAATCTCCATGAGCACATAGCAAGAGAACATGAGGTGGGACTCTGCATACCTAAGTCTGTTTTCTGTTCAGTCATCCCAGGTTTAACCTGTAGAAAATGAAGCCAGGGAAAGAAAGGATGAAGTTGGTTATTTGGATGACTTTAGCAAGAAAACAATAAACCATATTACCCTCTCTGCACTGAGGGGGTGGAGCTATTTAGGGGTCTTCAGTTCTAAAGTCTGCTGCCACATGCCTAGCATATTATGCCAAAATATCATTTACATGGTTAATCTGAGAGGGGCTTGACTTTCTCTTACTGATTCTATGCTACCATTAGCCATTTGCTGGCAGAATGCCCACACACCACAGGAAAGCTAACCATCCCATAAAGAAAACATTATCAGTGAATATCTTTTAGTTAGCCCAAAGAGGGGAAAGACAAATGATCTGAGAGCCTCCAACAAGACCTACACAAGGATCTTGCATCCCATGCAGCCCAAGTACTGTGGCCTCCACCCTTGACTTGACTAATGTCTTACGTGTTACCTTTTTCTGCTTTCCAGTGCAATGGGCCTTGCATCGGGCCTCACCTAGCTGTGCAACATAGACAAGTCTTCTGCCAGACACGGGATGGCATCGCCTTACCATCAGAGCAGTGCAGCGCCCTTCCAAGGTAAGAGAAAGCCCTGAACCTCCTTTCCCTAGCCCCATGTCAACAGCATGGAAAGATGGTGGTGAACAAATGTTTCTCCAACTTTCCACAGTCCCAAGCCCTGCCCTCTCACCTCCATTCACCCCAAGGCACTGGCCTTCCCGGAGGCAGATGACTCAGTGTTGGCTTGTGCTTACCTAATGGGATAGGCTGGGCTTTTCTCTCTCAGGGATGAAGAGTACAAAGGTGTTATTCTTCTGAGAAAGGCCTCACACCTTGAGAGACCCCCACTAGCCCCAGGGAGGTCAGGAAGTGAGGCCTACACAGTGGCTACCAAGTCTCAAGGACTCCAGCACCTCACTCTTGTTGACCTCCCTCTAGAAGTTAGGCTGAGTGCCCTTGTTCCTGAGTCTCAGCCTACCATTCCTCTCCAGGCCCCATTCCTATAACACTTCCTTATAGATGTCCCCCTGAGGAAGAGGGGCTCACCACCCCCACCTCCGAGCCCAGCCTCTGCCAGTCTCCACACTGGAGAGAGCTCATTCTTGAGTCATGCAGTGAGATCCATATTCATTATACAGGAGAGCAGATGGAGGCCCGGTAGGAAGAAATAGCCTTCTTGAGATCATATGGCCATTTAGTAACAGAGACCAGAACCCAGGTCTAGTAACGCTGGAAGTACTTGAGGAATGGCCTGTCATTTCTGGGTTTGTAGCACTGTTTTTATATCTACCCCATAGAAGCAAATCTTAACCCTGCCCCCATCCTCCTACAGGCCCGTGAGCACCCAAAACTGCTGGTCTGAGGCCTGCAGCGTACACTGGAGGGTCAGCCTGTGGACCCTGTGCACAGCTACCTGTGGCAACTACGGCTTCCAGTCCCGACGTGTGGAATGTGTGCATGCCCGCACCAACAAGGCAGTGCCTGAGCACCTGTGCTCCTGGGGGCCCCGGCCCACCAACTGGCAGCGCTGCAACATCACCCCATGTGAAAACAGTATGTTCCAACCCCAAAGAACCTTCTGCAAATCCCCCACAGGGCATCTGGTGCAGAGAGCGGTCCCTGGGACCGAGCCTGAGCGTAGGGCATGGGGTCAGTTTCTCCAGGGATTGTAAGCTGGTGGTAGAGTTGAGCATTTTCAGTGGGGTGCATGGGTGTGTGCAGAGATGTGTGTATAGGCATGGCAGGGTGTGCCCCAAGAAAAAAAAGCCAGGTGCTGTTGGCCAAGTCCTGGAGGAAATCAGCCTCCAGCTCCCCTTCGATCGGTCTGGCTGGTGCCCACAGGGGTTGACTAAGCAACAACTCTCAGAGGCCAGACTACTAAACAGAAAGCACTATTAACACTGAAGGAGCACAGAATGCCACCCACACAGCCAGCCAGCTCTGCGCCCATCACAGCTTCTCATCAAACATAGACCTGCTGACCACCTCCTTCCCAGCCCCACAGGCATCCACTAGAACTTTCCAGGAGCCCCCAGCCTTGGGATTTGATAGTGACTTCACTCCCTCCTCCTCATCCCAATACCGTCATTTGTATTCCAGTTGGGAAGGAGTCTATTTTTTTTTCTTCCTCTGTGTACCCAAATTGGAGGTACTTACCCATCAGAAAGAAGGCGTAGAAAGTAAAAACCTAATGTAGCCATGCAGTTTCCTCCCAAACCGGGCCTCACTGAGCAAGAAATTCCCAACACAAAGGCAGATGCCATGTAGGCAAATACTCACTTCTTTTTCCACACTGGGGGATGGATGATGTTTGTACTCTGGGGTAGTGCTAACCCATGTTTGTGTCAGCGCCTCAGCGTGCTCAGAGAGAACCAATATTCAACACATTTAGTTAAGACTTTCCAAACCACGTCAGCACAGTATTTAAGACCATCCAGTCTGTGCCAGTACTGAACTGGAATGACCTGGAGCTGTGTTTAAGGCATGGTGGGCAGAAGGAAGAGGGAGTGGAGGGCACATCAAATTAATAAAGCTTAACAGAGGAAGTAGGTCCAAGTGCCTGGGGATGGGTGCATCCAACGCAAGCCTTGCTTACACCCTCCTGCAAAGTGGGGCAGAATGCAGTCCTGGGAACCATCTTCAGGAGGAGAGTCATTTACTTAAAATGTCAGAACCTATGGGAAAAGGCAAGTTTGCCTAGGAGGTGAGGTGATCCCCTAGGACAGGGAGAGAACAGGCACCTTCAGGAAGTAGAGAGAGCCACAGAAAAGAAGCAGACAGCCCAGGGAGGGGCCCCATCATTCAGCCAGACTGCCGCAGGCTGATGCCACCACCACTGCTGGCAGCCTTGGGGAGCAGGCGGCTGAGCTCTGTCAGAGTGAGGCTGGAGAAGAGCAGCCAAGCCAGACCCCAGGATGTACCCTAGTGGCCAAAACACCTGGCTACACATCACAGTGGCTGAATTTATTAGCCTCCATTTCACATCTCTTTTCTGTCCCCTCTCCCTACCCTGTCCTCCTTTCCCAGTGGAGTGCAGAGACACCACCAGGTACTGTGAGAAGGTGAAACAGCTGAAACTCTGCCAACTCAGCCAGTTTAAATCTCGCTGCTGTGGAACTTGTGGCAAAGCGTGAAGACAGGGCAGGGGAAGAACTCCACCCTGGCCACACAAAGGACTCACGCAACCACCTCGGACAGAACCTAAGCTTTCTTCATTTTATTTATTTATTTCCCCTCCCCACCCCACAGACACACTTCCAACCTCCTCCACCCTCAAGCATGAGGACATCCACATTTTCTCTTTCAATTAGCTGGAGGACAGAATGTTGGGAAAGGAGAGGACAGATGTCTAAAGGAGGTTGCAGAGCGGGTCAGGCAGACAGTGGGGGCTCCCTTGAAGAGCTTCTTCCCTCCAAAACCTGGGTCTCAGACCCAGGAAGAGGCAGAAACAGCCCCTGGGGACAGCAGGGATCCAGAGGTTTGTAGCCTGTTGATACAAACATTGGACAAACACCTGTGTCTTTCCTAGAAGCGCAATGCAAGAGTGTGCTGCTCCTTTGTCTCCTCTTTCTCCATCTGTCCCTTTAGTCATGGTTAGGACAAACGAGGAGAGAAGGGGACACCACACAGAGGCAGAAACTAGCCCAGAACTCAGTTATTCCAGTGGGGGCGTTGCAGAGAGAGGAGAACTCAAATCACTAATAGGGAGAGATAAAAAAGGAATCAATCAGAGCAAGCTTAAGACTCACAATGTTGCAGAAATAAGGGAGGGAAGGGACAGAAGCAAACAGGTAAGCAGGGGTGTCCAGGCTGCATGAGGCTCACGGACAGGCTCTGATCCCATGCATGCATGCATGCTCAGAGTCCGGTTGGCCACGACAGAGCACCGCACTGCATGGGAGTCCCCACTCCTCAGGCTATCAGAGTCAACATCCTGCCTGTGCTGCTGCAGCAAAGCCAGCGAGAGGTGCATCTGGCCGTGCAGTAAGGCCACCCTGGCACCTATCAGGAGTCCTCCAGCCCTGCACTAACTGCTGCTGTGGGCCAGGGCCATTTTGAGCATGAATGGGCCAGGCTTTCTGCCTTCTAGGACTTTTGCTGCTCCACTAAAGGGCCAGAGATAAGTGTCAATTTGTCAACATCAACCCATTAACTAATCACTTTGCCAGAGAGTATCTGCCAGGCTTTCAGGCTATAACACCCTCTTCATTCCACAGCTGGCCAGGGACCGGGGTTTATGAATGCCTGCGATACACCCTCCCTCTCCCATCTACCACCCTGGGGTCTGCAGGCCCTCACACAGCACAGTGAGACCCGCTGCATGTAACATTTATCTAGCAAGGCAGGGTGGGGGAGGCAGCACCCTGGCAAAGCAGCTCATCCACTGCAGCCACACTCATCAGCTGTGGTGAGGCAGCTGGAGCAAAGTCAAGCAGCAAAATGAACACTCTGGGACTCCTTGGAAAAATGCTCATTAAGCCGAGCAGCTTTGGCCAAGTAATTTTTGCCTCTTTCCCCACTAGTGGCCTCAGTTTAGGAGCAAGGGTGGCCAGAGTCACTTACCCTCAGATAAGCCTCCTCTCATGAAATGCCATTCACCCCAGGGCTTGACATTAGGGCTGCGTTTTCCAGCCAGCCTGGAAGTAAAATTTGAGGGAAAGACAATATTAATCTGTGTGTCCCCAACCCCAGTGAGCTGTGGACAGTTAAGTTGGGTCTCTTTCTTCCTCACCACAAAAATAGGCTCTAAGAAATCATGTTACTAAAAATCAGTGTAATGTCTGTTTAAAATAAAAGAGAATGTTTTCTATGTCTGTATATCTTTTGTGAATATTAGGATTTCTTGTATTAAAAAGTGTAATATTAATAATTGTACATTGTCATCCAGAAAACTCTTGGGGGGACTTTATTAACTTTCTGCAGTTGTGTTCCTGTAAACTTGGTAGTGATTATTATATTTTTTCCTATTTTTTAATAGAACCTGGTGTTTAACTCTGGATCCATTCACTGTGTACAGGATGTGTTGTAAAAACTAATATGGGATGCTGTGGCAGTAAGAGGGGATTCATTTGTGGCACAATAGTTCATGGAATGATGAAGACAGATTCCATACTACTACTAATGTGGTTAATTATTTCTAGGTCAAGAGTGATTGAAAACCAGTGGTCACTATTTACATTTCCTAACAGCAAGCAGCCTCCAGCTCTGTGTTGGATTGGAGCAGTTGGCAGTGGGTCTCAGTGAGCTGGCAGAGCCTAGGCTTGGGTGGGTAGCAGAGTGCTCCTTGCATGAGATGAATGTACATTTAATGTTTGTTCTGTGAATTACAACTCAGCAGCACCACAAGACTATGAAGGCTGCTGGCTAATGTGGAAGGAGGCACTTTCTCCTCTAAAACACAAAACTGTATTTATATTTTTTGTACAGATAATACAGCTTATTTATTTAAATCTTCTCGTCTGAGTCTCTATTAAACTCAGCCTTCCCCGGGTGGTTGATGCAGGGAGTGAGAGAAGTCCCTGTCAGTTGGGTGGTTCCCAGCAAGTTTTTGTGTCTGGCTGAAGTGTAAGGATTGCAGCTTTCACCTTTACACGGGAAGCTAAGGGCCCATGCCTGGAAGTGCTAGCTCTATAAATAAACCCAAAGAAGCTGTGTTTGTAGACGTGCACACGTTCAGGCTGAGGGCAGCAGAATGAGATGACAGTCATCTCACTGACAGCCCTTTGTGGTGGGACGATGGGAGCCACAGTACCTTCAGTAAGTGAAACAAACGGGTATCTCTTCCGAGAGATGCAGACTTGGGTGTGGAATTTTCCTCACTCATCATGCTTCCTGCCAACAGAGATACATACAGTATGAGGCAGCTGCACGGTGAAAGTTTGGATGTATGCTATTAATAAAGACTTACACTTTACAGATCACGGCTACATTTAATCCTCACATCAACCCTCTGATTATCTCCATTCACATATGGGAAAATAGCAGGGCAAAGAAGCCCAAGGTCACCCAGCTGGTGGAACTAGGATTCAAAGTCAGGCAGTCCTACTCTAGCCGAAGACTGGACTTGACCCACTGTGCTGCCTCCTGCCCCACTGCCTGCAGCTGCCGTGCCACAGCCACCTTAGGCATGCACACCCTTCTCCCCTACTGCTTACAGATTGGTCGGTGACAATAACAGGACATTTTACTGAAATGGTCTCTTTCTCCTGCCCTAAAGGCAGTTCTTTTACCATAGCACTTCTAGATCCCTATTTTTAAAGCATTTTAATAAAAACAGCCACCGTAGGAAGTGCGGGGGGCGAAGGAGGGAAGCACACCTGTAGAGCTCTTCATAAACAGGCCCTAGTGAAAGGGCAGCATGTCGCCAGGCCCAGAAGATGTCCACACAGGAACCACAGTAAGAGATGCTCCAGAGGACTTATGGCCTGAACGCTAGTTCCAGCAGCTTGCCACAGCACATCACAGTCCTTTAAACAGTGTGAAAATCCACCAGAAAGCTCTTCTTGAAATTTCAGTTATTTTTTTAAGTTTTAGGTTTTGCTTTAAAGAAAAAGCCAATGCTAGAACTACAAATATTCACATACCAGCAACCAATGTCCTACAGAGGCCCCATGGCAGGAGGAAGTAGCTGGAAATGCCAGAGCAGAAACCCAGTAAGGCTGAAATGCTGGGAAGGGCTCAAATGCAATGTATGGAAATTTTTCCAGCCAAAAACATAGAGTCCTTGCTTAGCCTCAAAGATTTCCAGGAAATCCCTAGTCCCATTAAGATCAGAGTGGTCAACAGTCACCGAAGCTCATTCATGCCTCAGTTTCTTCGTCCTCCAAAAGCATACCTCATCGGGTAGGGCTGTGCAAAAACAATTAGTTAATTCATGTTGAATCGCTTGAACCCAGGAGACAGAGGTTACAGTAAGCCAAGATCATGCCACGACACTCCAGCCTGGGCAACAGAGCAAGACTCCATCTCAGAAAAGGAAAAAGGAAAAAAAAGGGGGGTTATCTGACACATCATCGAAGCACTTATTCAATGTTAATTGTTATTATCGTCAGCATCATCTAAGGTACTGTGGAAGAAACAGGGAGATGAAGGGAAGAGCTCGTAGAATTTTTGCTATTTTACATCATTTCCCATTGTCAGCTTTGAAAGACTCCCCAGTGTTTTCATTTTTAATTGAGAAGGAAATCAACTGCTCCTCCAAAGCTCAATGCTACACAATAGCCAGGCACAGTAGCTCACACTTATAATCTCAGCATTTTGGAAGGCCATGGCAGGAAGATCCCTTGAAGAGTCTGAGACCAGCCTGGACATGGCAAAACCATGTCTCTACAAAAAAAAAAATTTAATTACCTAGCGTGGTAGCTTACACCCGTAGTCCCCAGCTTCTTAAGAGCCCTGAAGCTCAAGGCTTCCCTGAGCTGTGGCCAGGCTACTGTACTCCAGCCTGAGTGACAGAGTTAGACCCTATCTTAAAAAAAAAAAAAAACTACACAATAGCATAAACAAGAAAGACATCGATGAACCAAGTTCTGTGTCTTGGAAGAAAACCTATCAGTCGATGTATCCAACTCAAACACTCACCAAAAAACTGACAAAATTCCAGAAATACTACTTCCCAGGACAAGTGTTATAATTCCAATGTACTGCCTAGTCTCAACTCAAAGTACCCAAATGTACATATAACTACCATTTCTTTCAAGTAACTAAAAATCATGGAGAGATATTTATTCATGAGCAAATATACAAGTAAAAGCTAAAATTAAGGATATTTCACTTGCAAGTGGTTGAGCTTCTCATAAATAATATGCAGTTATCCCCTCACTTCATCCTGCAAATAAACCCAAAGAAATTTAGTCCACCTTTATTAATGGTTTTCAGCAAAAACGAGACAAGTTAGATCTCAATAATCTGTTAGCGGAGTTCCCAAAAGAAGTCAAAGCCATCTACAAAGGGTCAGGAAATGGTGGCGTAGAGAAAAGGATGGAGCATGGGGAAGAAACCTAGTGAAAACTGACCTGTGCGGTGAATTAACCCAGGGAAGGATATATCAGGAAACAAAATAAGACACAACTCCCCTTTGGTCTTATCTCTCCATGTTCCTCCTTTTGTTCTGTAAACCAACTCAAAGACTTCAGGATTCAGACTCAGTCTGCACTGAATGCGAATTAAATCAGAGAAGGTTATCTACCCACACCATATACTGCCAATTGGGACAATATTGGCATTGATTGATTTAAGGCCTTGAAGTAAAGACTTGAATGCCCAATGAATTCAACAATCCTCCAAGTTTAACCTCAAATGAATGTCTGCTCCCCACCCACCCAGTTCACTTGGAGATGCTTTTACAAATCAAATGTGTATGAGCTTGTCAGAGACTGTCCTCTTTGGCCGAATCTCAGCCCATTCATAGCACCCCAAGATTTTAAACTGTTTTGTTGCCTCCCCAAAGATGAAAGGCTTTGTAATATTGGTAATCAAGCCTTTGCTAAAACAACAGGGCTACCGCCTTACTTGTCAACTCGAGTTTTACAACTTCACTCAGATTCTGTGAAACACCTGGTCCCAAGCAACCACGTGTCATGCCTCTGATAACACAATATACAGATGTCGCTCACCTCTGTGTTTTCAAAAGGCAAAATCCATCTCCAACTCAGGATTTCCCAGGCTGCCCCTAAAAATATGGTTTATGTGTGTGTAAACAGAAATTAAATGTGAGGTTTTATGTGAGTGAGGAAAAAGCAGGCAATCAGGAATGGTTCTCCTGCCGAACGTAAATAATGTTTGTTTAAGCAGAATGCCTAGGAGAGCCTGAGAGATTGCATGGTCAGCATGCAGACCAGAAAGCATGCCTGGGAAGCCTGCCTCCCTTCTGGGTCTTCATGATGGCCAGGGTGGACTTTGTTACAAATCCTGTGAAACATACCAGACAAGCTGTGAACAACTTAGTTACCAGGTGAGCAAGTGAGGAAACCTCTAATGGTGAAGGCCAGGGGTGTGGTGATAAAGTGTGTCAAGGGCTTGGTTTTCTTCCCCTAAGCCCTCATCATCATTTTTTAAATAACAGTGGAAGGGCCAGGAAATGGCTTGCCGGAGGCTAGTGAAGAATGGCAAAATTGTTTTTCAGTCACCCACCTGCTGACAATCCCTGCATTACAAGGATTTGACTTACAGTTTCTCAACTTTACACAATGGTGCAAAAACAATACCGACAATGGGCTATGTCCAGTTAAACTCGTCAGAAATTTAAAATACTGTAAGTCAGAAATACACTTTTGATTTCTGATATTTTTTACTTATAATGGGTTTATCAGACATAACTTGACTGTTGAGGAACTTCTGGGTTCTGTCTCATGGCTGGAAGTCAGCATGTCTCAGTGCGGGAGCACAGGGCAAGTGCCAGCCATGGACTCCTGAGCTGTTTCTTCAGCCTGAACAGACCCCTCCCTGCTTGAGTGAAGAGATTCAAGGTAACCCCCTAAAAGCAGGCCCCCATAACCTGAATCTTCTGCACCCTTTGCACGGTGAGTGTTTGCCTTCACGTTTGGCAAAGTACGAAGCTGGGATGGAAAACAACCAAAGTCCTCCTCTAACCCTGGTGGTCCTCGCTCGACCCTTCCCTTACCAGGTGAGCCCCCATCCCTTCTCATCTCATCTCCTTCTTCCTTATTTCTTTTTCCATCACTTATCTTTCCTTTTCCTCAGAGTTTAACACACTTTGCTAAGCACAACTCTGGGCTCCAAGGACACAGGGGTGAGAGCCTAGTCCCTGCTTTAAGGGAGCTCACCGTCTAACTGGGAAGCAGACTCATCCCACAGCAAATGACAGTGTGTCCTACCACAGTTATGAAGTCCAAGTTCTGGGGAATCTCCAGCTCTTCTCCCTCATTTGGCCTCTTCCACAGTCAGCACTCAGTGATTGCTCTCTTTAGTCCTAATCCTCTCTCACTGGGGCATTTGCAAAGGTCTCCTAACTGCATTCCTTAAATCTACTCTGGTCTCTTCCAATCCACTTTCCACACAATAGCTAAAACTATTGTTACATTGCCTGTAAAACTTCATTTCTGCCTTCATTTCATTATTTATCCAGTCGTCATTCAGGAGCAGGTTGTAGTTGTGTGGTTTTGAGTGAGTTTCTTAATCCTGAATTATAATTTGATCACACTGTAATCTAAGAGACTGTTATGATTTCCATTCTATTGCATTTGCAGAGGAGTGATTAACTTCTAAGTATGTGGTCAATTTTAGAGTAGGTGTGATGTGGTGCTGAGAAGAATGTATTTTCTGTGGATTTAGGGTGGAGATTTCTGTAGATATCTATTAGGTGTGCTTGGTCCAGATCTGAGTTCAAGTCCTCGATATCCTTGTTAATTTTCTGTCTTGTTGATGTGTCTAATATTGACAGTGGAGTGTTAAAGTCTCCCACTATTATTGTGTGGGAGTCCAAGCCTCTTTGTAGGTCCTTAAGAACTTGATTTCTGTACGTGAGTGCTCCTGTATTGGGTGTGTATATATTTAGGATCATTAGCCCTTCTTGTCTCATTGATCCCTTTACCATTATGTAATGCCCTTCTTTGTCTCTTTTGATCTTTGTTGGTTTAAAGTCTGTTTTATCAGAAACTAGGGTTCCAACCCCTGCTTTTTATTTATTTATTTTTTTTTTATTTTATTTTATTTATTTATTTTTTTTTTTGCTCTCCATTTGCTTGGAAAAATCTTCCTCCATCCCTTTATTTTGAGTCTATATGTGTCTTTGCATGTGAGATGGGTCTCCTGAATACAACACACCGATGGGTCTTGACTCTATTGAATTTGCCGGTCTATGTTCTTTTGACTGGGACATTTAGCCCATTTACATTTAACTTCAGTATAAACTGATATGTATGTAAAAAATTAACTTAAATCTGTACTCTAGGGACTGTTAGATAACATTTAAAATACTCAGTCATAAATCCACCCTCCAGAAGTGACCATTGCAAGTACTTCAAGTATTATTATCTAAATCTGCACTAGCAGGTTCATTAATCATACAACATTTATTAGTCTCAGAGTAGTAAACTGCTGTGTTTGAGGACTGGAGAGAATAAACAAACATGACCTCATACAGATAATCTGAGAATCCAGCTACTGTCGTCTGAACATGCCCCCACTCCATTCCAAAATTCAGATGTTGACAATGTGGTGCTATTGAGATGTGAGGCATTTAAGAGGCACTTAGGTCATGAGGGCTACTCCTCTCATAAATGAGATTAGGTTCCCTACAGAGACTTCACAGAGGGAGCTCATTTCCTTTCTGCCCTTCCACCTTCTGTCATGTGAGGACACACCATTCCTCCCTTCTGAAGGATGCAGCATCAAAGGCTCCACCTTGGGCGTAGAGGGCAGTCCTCACTGGCACCTTAATCTTGAACTTTCCAGCCTCCAGAACTGTGAGAAATAAATTTCTGTTCTTTATAAACTGCCCAGTTCATGCTACTCCTCACAGCACAAATCAACTAAGACACCAGCAAACCCAGTAGCCTGATGATCCAAGTCTAGCGTTGTCTTTGGTTCTGTGTGCCCAACTCTGTCTGCTGATCTGAATAGGTAAGACTTTGGCTAATCTTACTTTAGGAACATTCACCTTAGAGTAACTAAGCATTTATCAGGGTGCCTAGGGTTGAACAATAGGACTCACGTAAGTTCAAGGAGTAGATGATACAAGTACTTTGGACCAGTTTGCTAGCATTTATGTCCATGCCAGAATTTGGTCTGAGAGGGTGGAGACACAGCCTCAGCCTCTCATGGATGGCAACTGCCCATCTATACCAAGATAACTTGGGAACTGTTGATCAACAAAAATGACTTAAATCAGTTCACAAGAGACTTTCTCAAAGCATGGTTTCAGTTATACCAGTCCTCTGCTTTAAAATCTTTATACCTTCCCACTGTTGTTAGGATAAGGACTGAATGCCTTAAAATATCCTGAAGCATCTTACAACAGCCCAGCCTCATTTCTGGCCACTCTGTCTAGGTGACTGGCCTTAGTTCCATGAAGGCTCCATTCTCCTTTTGCTACCACCTTCTAATGAGCCATGGATTAGCAAGCACCACATCCACCACCATCCACTCTTGTTAAATCAGGGAAGGGCAAATACAGAGGCTATGAAATGCTTGTTAAAGTCTTTTAAATATTGATCAATTATACAACGCTTTTCCCCATCACCTTGCAGCAAAGGCAGAGAGCAGGGCCTCTCCATCTTTGACAGCCTTTAGAGTTGGATGGATGAATTGATGGATGGATGGATGGATGGATGGATGGATAGACAGGTGAATAAAAGGAAGGAAGGAAGAGGCGTGGTCAATGCTATGACAGGGCATCCCATCCATCCCATGACCAGAGCTAAGTCAGCTGCAAGGGGTTGTGGAGGAGGACATAGGCAGATCTGGGAGGGGGCAGCTTATATGACAGAACGTACGGAGGGAGAAGGCAGGGTTCCTGAGTCCCCACCTACTACACAGGGAACTTGCTGGATAAGTAGAGAAAATGAAGGCCCGGAGGAGGTTGAAGAGCAGCTGGGGGCCATCTGGGTGGGCTCCCTGGGAGGTGCCCCTGGACAAGAGAATGTTAGAGCAACTGACCCAGGACTCTGAAAGAGAGATTACACAGGTTGGAAAAGGGCATTGTAATAGTCTCAAGTCAGGCAGGCTCCTGGAGCCCACGGCAAAGGTAGGAGTCTCATGGAATCTTCATGAGCTTCTTAACCTAGAAGAGAAATCCTCCTTAAATAACATCTTTAAGGTTTTATAAAACAAACTCCAAGATGTGACTATATGTTACCAAATCACAAGAAAATACATTTTTCCTTGATGTATCCAAAGGAATTATTTTCTAGAGTGAAGAGCATCCAATCTAAAGTGATTAACTATTTTATACTAAGAGCTTAAAGATTTAAAGATCTCTTCAAATAATCAGCTCCTGGCTGTAATTATTCTTTTTTATAGATTGGTCTTATAAATAAACATCATGTAAAGAAAAGCCCCATTGGAATCTAGTCAACATTTTTATATCTGTGTTCCCAGAAGCAATTATTGCATAGGTCTGAATGCTAACCCTGTACTAGGTACAGTGGAGGATCTCTCCCCTCCCTCCCTCCCTCTCTCTCTCTCTCTCTCTCTCTCTCTCTCTCTCACACACACACACACACACACACACACACACACACACACAGACACACACCTGTTCCCAAAGATTTTTCAACCTATTTCTTAGGTCATACACCTGTAAACTGCATGCCCCTTTAAAAGTATTCCAAAATTCATTCTTTTCTCTCAATCTGAATGAAGAGATTATTCTTGCATCTCTCTAGCACTCCCCTTCTTCCAAGTTACCATTCAAAAACTACCATCCACAAGGTTTGTTTTACAAACCTCATTTCCTCTAATCCCCGGAGGAATCCTGTGAGGACTCTGCCAAGTTGTTCCACCTCTCTGAGCATCAGTTGCCCACCTGGAAAGGCAGGATTAACAAGAGAGGGGTTGTGTGGATTGAATGAGATGGGATGTGCTGGTGCTTTTAGAACTCAAAGGGGCTTTACACAGGAGATACTTGCGTGAGTCCATTGTCCATCATAAATGAACTTTCCCAGGCCCCCTGTGTCCTGCACTTTGGCTGTACCATAACCTCTCATTTATCAAGAAGCCAAACAATCTAAACTGTCAAAGACCAGCATATTTTAACATTCAGAGCTGACCCTGAGATGCTACAGGATCCAATGAGATTTTCGAATCATAAAAAATAGATTGAACTACATGTTTGCAGGGCATGTGTATTTTATTGTGTTCTAAACTTATTTGAAAAATTTATGATGAGTACTTGGCAGTTCTTCTCCATGTGTGTTCCAACAGGTTTTACAAAATAAAAGGGCTCTATCGTCAGCGCTGAAAAATGTTGCTTCTTCCTGCTCAATATTCATCCCTCCCTTCCCTGGAAACTACACCTCAGTTTTCCTTTGGGGACCCACCCCTTTAGCCCTCATGCAGTTCATGTAGTTCACACGAGATTGACCCCACATATACACACTGCTTCATCCAGGGGTGGACCTCAATTCAAGCCTGGATGATTAGTATTTTCTATTGCTACATTTATCAGCTCAGGGATCAGCATAAAACTCAAGTTGGGCAAGACTCCATTCAGGGATTTTGGACACGATTCAGTGGTTTCAGGATCCTGGAACCACTGGGAAGCAGAGGCCCTTTTCTCTCCATTGGAATTGCCAGCTAAAAGGATGTTGTAAGGCTGGTGTAAGAGGGCAACGTAGAAGAAAACAAAGCCAAAGCTAAAGACCAAGACCTCATCACATCAGTGGAGCCCCTGGTTCCAACTATGCCTAAAGTCAACAGAGAAAGCCCTAGACTGCTCAACTGCCTGAACCAATAAATTCTCTTTTTTGCTTAAACACTTGTAATTACAAGAATGCTGATTCATACACTGGGTTGTACATAGTTAAACAAGGCTTCTTTACTATAGGGCTTCATGGAGCTTTCCAAATATTAACATCCATTACGAATCTCCAACAGGGAGATGTAATATATAGCACTCCCGAAACTTCTATGTCCAATGATTTCTTTTTTTGGAAGACCATATCATTGGGCTTATATTCCACAGAAAACACCTTGGGAAAGGCTAATACATGTTACCTATAGGTTAACCGAATATTAAAATACTACAAATCCCTATTCCCTTATTATTCTAGATAAATGAGACAAATGGGAATTCATTTATCCAACACTGTTGATGCATTTTTCCAGACGTTAAAAATGTACATATATAATTTTTTATTCTTTTTTACTAAATTGGGGTCATAAGCACAAACCATGGTATTTTTTCCAGACTTAATAAAATATGTGTATATATACAGTTTTTTTTTATTATTATACTGGGATCATAATTGCTGAGCTGCTACACTTTCGAGTCCTGCATTTTAAAATATTCTGGGCCTCTAGCCTCACTGCCAAGCTATCAGCTGTCACTCCACTTCGTTTAAATGTATCTACCTGTAGCAGCAGCCCCTAGTGCTCTGCTGTGAGCTAGTAACCCGAATGAAAGAAACTCACTGGAACTGGGTGTTTAAAAACAAAAGTCTGGGGGCGGGCAGTGCACTGAGAGTGAGACCCAGGGTAGGGGAATGTACTGAGTGGAGTACCTAAGTTTCTGTTCATGAAATCTACGTCGATGTATCGATGATTTTGGCAACTTTTTAAAAGACACTTATTTCCAGATTTCTGCCTTGGTTTTGGACAGCTAAAGTTTCCAAATAACTGACCTTCGAATATGGGAATTGTTCCACTACTTAGCCAAGGAAAGAACCACTCCAACTTGATAGTAAGCACTGAACTCTGCTTAGGAACTTTAAAATGAAAAGTTCTTTATTTTAAGGCCAGGAGCATCCCTAGTCCAAAAATTCCATTTCTTCCTAAGTCATCCATTGGCACAGAGGTCAAATTTCAGTCATTTTTCAGGCATTTTTTTCTGCCTGTAACTCTCAAGTCACCGATTGCCTATTTAAAGGGTATTTGCAGGCTCCCCTGTTTTATGATCTTATAATAAAATAGATGGGGATTTGGGACAACAGGGAGGTAATTAAACTCCCTTGTTGTCATTGAAAGTATAGCCTTGGCCCTAAGCAGGCAGGCAGTGGTAGAGGCAGGCAGGCTGGCTGGTCTGGGCAACAGGGCCCATGAAAATCAGTGCTAGATTCAATCACAGCAGTGGAAACTCCTGAGTCTTTTTCATTTGCATCAAGCTGGGTTTGCAGCCATACTTAGAGGCTTGACAAGGAAAATGCATCAAGGTTTCTCTTCTAAGTATCTGAGGATCCAGAGGCTGCCAGAACCAGGGCACCTGCAGCCCAGTAGTGTGGCTGAAAGAGGAGCCCAGCTTAGCATTGCCCTGATGCTTTTTCCAGACTCCAGAGCACATGTTCTGGAAGGGTCACAGGCTCCTGGGCTACTGTTGCACCCTCAGAATGGGAGGAGCCAAGCACCTGCTCAGACAGCCATGTGCAATTCTGAACCTGCTCTGCCAAAGAAAACACCCTTGTCTGCCCCGACTCCAGCATTTATGCTCAGAAAGGCCTCTGTCTTCCCACTTCGAGGGCTGCTGACCAGATGTGGACCTGGGTGAAGGCGGGACAGGTCTGAGGATCCAGGGGTCCATTAATCCGAAATTGTGCACACCTCCACCTGCTCCACCTACTTCCTCTTGACAACTGCACAGCTAAAAAGCACTTTTAGAGGAACTGGATCCCTCAGTTCATCTTCCCGACGAGTCATTTTGGAAAGTTTTTTCTGCAGATCTCATTGCCCTGAGGCAGTTAGCTCCACTCCTGGTCTTAAAAGCAGAAAAAGGAGAAGGAGGGAGTCATTTCTCAATATCTACGTCACTTCATTTCAATTATAGATATATAATAAAAAAGCAGATAGAAGTCACACACAAAAGCAAAACCAGAAGACAGGACAGGTAGTGCTGGCTCCCCCAGCTCAGACCCCAGCCAGGACTGTTGCCCCTGACATCAGAACTGGGCTGTGGTGTCCGCTCAGCTGCCCGTGGTCTACTGGTACTATCTGAGAGGGTGTGGAGGTGGACAGCTGAGGTAGAGGATGGAGGTGGGAGAGCACAGCCTCGGGGAATGGCTTGGGGTTCAGAGGTTAGCGACCCCTGCCATGGTTCCCTTCACCCGCATACACCAGTTATCCTGGTGCTTATTCTACTCCAGGTTTGCCCTTCTGCCCAGTCAAGGCCGAAGTCACCCTCCAGGTATGCTTTGCAGTGGAGAAGACTCCATTGAAAGCCCATGAGTGCTTCACCTGCTTCAACTGGCTCTAGGCCAGGTCTAGCAATGGGCTGCCTGGCTGTGCTTACCCCTTCCCACCCATCACTCACATGACACTAAACCACAGTAGAGGCATAATGAAATATAAAATGCCATTAAGAAGAAAATGGGAGGAATGTCCTCAAAGGACAAGGGATTTCAAGAAATCTGAAGAGACAGGAGGTAGATGCTAGAGTGATGACTGACAAATGGAGAAGAGATAGCCACAGCCCAGAATGAATACACTGCCAGGGTGCTGGAGCCGTAGGAAGTGGGGTCTGCAGACACAAGCTAGCGTGTCTCAGGATTCAAAATGACAGGTACCACAAAGGGCAGGGTAGCAAGTGGTGCTATAAACAGGGGCATCAGTAACAAGAGACCTATCCTTCCCCATCCTCCAACCACTGCCCAGCACAAGAGCTTGAAGCCAGACCAGAAAAGGAGGCTCACCTTTACAGATATTGATTACTGAGAAAATGCAGCAAGCAGTAGAATAAAGAGGACTTTAAGCTGATTTGGTGCTATATTCAGACCTTAATGGGACAGAGGGTGGGAAAGCAAATTCCTGATCCCCCCAAAATGAGGGCAAAATACCATAATCTCCACCCACACAAGTGGCCCCCTGTGTAGAAACGTGAACCCTGGTGACCTAGCCTGCTGACAGGATGGCAGACCTGCCCATGGCCTGAGGCAGTCAAATAACACCATCTTAGGAGGACTTCATGCCCAGCAGATGCCCCTGGGCACCATACCCTAAACCAGCAGACCACTTCCAGCCAGCCCAAGGCTTCCACACAGACAAAGCCCACTATTTGCAGCCAATCAGCCTCACTGGGAGAATTTCCTTTCCTCTGACAGAATAGAGACTGCCATCCTTCAGCTATAAAAGCCCTACTCTCATTTTTCTCCCCAGAACCTCGTCCCCAAGAACCTACTCGATTCTGCATTGAAACAGGTTTCCTGCGTACCCATAAAACTTTTTTGCCTCATGTTCTATTATATTAATATCTTTGACCTCTAGTTATTTCTATTTCATGACACGCCTAAAGTTTTGGGAACCCTGGGCTAGGGTAGGTGATTAAGCTCCCACTTCATTCTCCGAAGTGGAAAATACATAATATCAGCACGTGCAAACATTTTGAGAGAAGACAACATGTTTGAAAGGTTCCATTGTTAGATTT